CTTCCTTCCTTCCTTCTCTCCTTCCTTCCTTTCTCTCTCTTTCTCTCTCTTTCTCTTTCTCTTCAGTTCTCTTTTTATTTCATTTTGTATATTTTTTTACTCGCTAAATGGAGTGCTTCTTACCCTCTTACAAAACAAAACTTTCATTTCCCCTACATAACATGATGCATTTACATCTTCATGTTGCTTAAACAAAAAAATGGGCTATAACGTCTTATAAAATAAAGTTTCGATCTGATTGGTTTAAAATGACAACATCGTACATGATTGATGTTTCACAACAATCTAATCAAATCATATCCATGGAAAGAGCTGGCGTGAGATAAGAATTATGTCATTAGAATAGCAATCAATTCAGAAAAAGAAAGAAAGACTTCTACAAAACCTAACAAGTTAAATTCCAATTAGATCTGTGAGTTGACTTTGCCCCTGGCTTTGATCAGCCCAGAGGATGTTTCAGGGTTTGATCTGTGAGTTAGCCGTGCCCTTACTTTGATCAGCCCAGAGGTTGTTTCACAGTATCAATAAAATTCGAAGACATTCGCCAAACTGGTAAATTTTTATCCTCGTTTCATACTAAACGGTAAGTTTTATTTTCATGATAAGCTTATTACTTAGTTGAAGTTTACAAAAATATGCAACACTCTCAAAAATACTGAAAATTCTACGAGTTCAAGACAAATCATTTGTGACAAAATAAAACGATCGTTTTTGGGGAAACTGCCTGGTTAGGTTGGTCAGTTGTTTACATTCTCATATCAAACAATACTGATTATAGATAAATGTTTGGCACATTTTTAATTACCAATTTTTAAAAATTGCCAAAAATTTAAGCCGAGTTGATTCGCTTCTAAGCGCTCAACCACGCAACGCACTAAGTCGGTTCTAAAACGATCCATGTCATAACTGAGGCAGCTTTGTCTAAATAATATTTATACTTATTCGTGGCATTTACTAGTTTTCTGAAAAATTATCAATTATTTATATACAAAACACTGATATCAAAAATTTTAAAAACGATTCTACTGAGAGGGGACTATAGATGTCTTGATGCATTTCGATGTTTCGGGAGTATACAACATAAGATTTTAAAAATGCGCCCTGCAACACAAGACAAATCGAAAATCAAACTCAACAACACGTATAAAAGACAGAAAAGATGTATAAATTTTAAAATAGATATGGTGAAAGCCACATTAATAATCAGTTTTTAAAAGACATAGTTGAAAAGCTGTGGCGACGGGTAACTGAAGTATTAATAGCTTTTTCATGATTTCCTGGCGCTACTAGATACGCGACAGAAGGTTAGAAAAAAAGGGGGAAAGTTATTAGATTATTTCTTTCTTTTATTTTTCTTTCTTTCTTTTTTTCTTTCTTTCTTTCTTTCTTTTTCTTTCTTTTTCTTTCTTAAATTGTTTATCGTTTCTAACTTGGTTTTCAT